GGCAGACGCGGTCCCGCTTACGCGGACGTGGATTCCGCATCTCTTGCCTTCGTAAAATTAAAAACAGCATTGGTATTTGTAGTATTTATTAACTATGGTCACTTGTAATAATTATAAAAAAATAATAATAATTTTTTTTTAAATTATATAAATAATAATTTAATTTTTTAAAATATTATAATTTTAATGAAATATCTAAAGACCTTTATGTTAATAAATTTTAAAATAAAATATCATTTTATTTTTATTAAAAATACAAATTCTAATAATAACTTTTGTTTAAAAAATAACAACTTTTATTCTATAAATTGTAAAATTGAATAAAAAATTACATTAAATATAATTTCTTTATTAAAAAAAATCACAATTATAATTTTTATTTAAGGATTAATATTTTTATTTTCTGAATCATAAAAATTGAATAAAAAATTATAATTTATCAAGTATAATTTTTATTATAAAAAATAAATTTTTAAATTAACAAACCCATTCATAAATTTTTTTAAAAAAAATCATATATTTTTTTAAATAATTGAAAGAATTAAACAAGAAAATATAATTTATCAGTAAGGATAAAAAAGTCTTTTCAATTTAAATTTTATTGATAAGTAGGTTCTTAAAAGCCTTAATAAATATATCATATTTTAAAAGATTAGATTTTTATTTATATAATTTATAAAAATTTTATTGTCAGTTTTTAATTATAATTATAATTGTAATTTTAATTTCATTCTCTACCTTCCATAAACAAGATACATTTCAATTTAGTCTTTTCTTCTTCTCCCTGCTTTTAACTTTTTAGTCCCCTGAATGTATCGCCTAAAGTTAGGCAATGGGGAGCATATGGTCAAAGATTCTGTTTATATATTCATTCCGTATTAAAAATATAATATATTTTTAATTAATTTTTATTTTTAATAAAAATAATTAAATTAATTTTATCCTTTTATATTTATTTTTATTAAATATTTTACAATAAATATAAAGTCATTATCAATAGGAACACTTATGAAAAAAGATAATAATTAAAATTTTAAAAATTAAAAATACCTTATATTTCTAAACATTCAACTTCTTAAAAAATGCCTCATATTTTTAAACATTTAATTTTTAAAAAATACCTTATATTTTTGAATGAAAGAAGTATTGCTTATGAAAAAAGGCAATGATTATATTTTGAAAGAGTAAAAATATCTTACATTTTTAAAATAAAGAGTATATAATATAAGGTATTTTTTAAAAATTTAAATGTTTAAAAATATAAAGCATTTTTAATCTTTTGAAATGTAATTATTATTTTTTTTATAAATGCTCTTATTGATAATAACTTTATATTTATTATAAAATATTTAATAAATATAAATATAAAAAAATGAGGTTTATTAAAAATAAATTTTAATTATAAATATTTTATATTTTTAAATAAAAAAAAGTATATAATAGTATACATACATACATAATTGTGTTGGGGGTGGGGGGATTTGAAGAGGGCGGAAATCTTGCAGATTTTAACAAGTGGGGATGTATTAGCCCGAATGCGCGATTCAGGACTTTAAAGGGCTATGACGCTTTGCTTTCAATATTTATGACAAATAAATGATATTCAAATAATTTTAAGATTTTATTAAAAAAATATAAGCAGGGAGAATTTCTTTTCAAGAGAAGATCCATATAAATTTAAAAAAAATGTATTTGATTAAAATAAATAAAAGGGAGATTAGTATTGTATAAAAATTTTATACAAAAGGGCATTGTATAATATATTTATATATCTTTATTTATAAAAATGATTTGTTATACGGTGATTTTGAAATTTTATAACATTTTTATATGTACTGACATATTTACGAGTACTTTTTGTTATGAATCGTATTAGATTATTTTTAAAAATATACTCAAAATAATTAAATAGATAAATATTTAAGTAAATTAAATGCACTATGCCATTTGCAGTATGTCCAATTAAAATGCTTTAAGTAATTTAAATAGAATTTTGTGTGCCATCTGTTTAATTGATTTTATTTTTATAATATAATACAAATTTAATTTTTTATTTTTTCTCTCTTTACTATCATTAATATTAAAATTAATTTATATTTAATATAGTTTAAATATTATTTTTTTTTGAACAGATCATAAATGATATGATGCATCCAATCTACCTAAAAATTTCTCTCAAGAATATGCTTTTATTTTACAGATTTTTATTTTTTTTTAAATATTTAAACACAGAGCGTAAAATATAAATAAATAATTTAATGGATAACAATAATTTAATTTTAAGAAGCATAGGTAGGGAGATTTTATTTTTTTTTTTAATAACATTGACATTGATGCGGTTTAAGTCCAACTTACATCATAATGAATGTCATTGTGTACTTTGAATATGTTGACTCAACTTTTTCTGTGGAAGCTGAAATCTCATGCTCTTGCTGGCCAAAAAAAGAAAAAAAAGGAAGAAGGAAATCTCATGCTCTTAGGACTAGCATTATCAATGCTACTCCGCGTCCTGCACATGCATCACTTTCAACAGGCGGAAGTAGTGCGGGCGTGGCTTTCTTTAATCTTTAGCACCAGCCATTCATATGCTACTTAACATTTAATATGTTTATTTATACAAAATTAAAATTCTAACCATATGACTAATATTATTCATTCTTTAAATTTCCATTCAATAGACAAATTTTTGCTATTGGGAAACAAAGACATCACCTGTCAAGTCTCAAATGCTCATAAAAACTAAAAGCAACACCGTCACCTACCCCTTTTTTTGCCAGCAAAGACCATCACCTATTGCATCACATGTGAAACTAGGAATAGATGCAGGAATGTACTAGGAAATAGGAATATTAAAATATATTCGCTCCGAGATTTTGGTTAGGTATTTTCTTTGTTTCTTTTGTTCTCTTTTTCAGGGCAATTAGTCAGCGGATTTTAATCAGCTCAACTGAGGAGGATGGCCAATTAGACGCTACGCTCTTCCACGGTGGGTTTGGGAAATTAGGTAGACGTGTTGAGAAAATATACCTAAATTTGTGGGAAGCAACAGAAACACGCCTCCATTCATCTGACAATTCGGCCCACACAAACTCGGCAGATATTTAGGGGTTTCCTTGTGGAGTATTTCTTATGGGCTCAGATGGGCACCTTGAATATTTCTGTTCTTCTTTTTTGGCGTTTTTTGTGATAGCAAAAACTATTGAGAGAATCCATATTGTATCTCAAGAAAGAGAATCAACAAACGATTGATCCAATTGATAAAGACTTTACTTATAATTAAAGGTGCAACTACTTGCTCCGCGAGAGGAAGCCTGCGCACTTTCTTTGCATATCCCCCTCCCTCTCATTCCATTCCCACGCGGGGCTCACACACACTCTCCACAATAACCCCCAAGCAAAATAATGTCTTATATTACACACACACACAATTATATATATTCTCTTTAGATCATAATACGTGGCATCAATAACCATTTCACTGTTCTAAAAAAAGGTTAAGTAAAATCTTAATCTATTATATATCCTTTTAATTATATCCTCGTTAAATATTTTATATAAGTGTCTTAATAATGATAATTAAAATATTCATGCATTTTTTTAAAAAGAATAATAAATAGTGTATAGGAGTATAGTTGAAAAAACAATTCAAAAAATTAGACTATATTGTATATTTTGAACTAGGCAAGATTTTTAGAAGATACTTATACTATGGTTCGAAAATATACTCCCTTCATTATTTATATATACTTTTTAACATTTTTTCATGTAGATTAAGAAAAATTATTAGATTGTTTTATTTTTTTAAAGATATTTTACAAAAAAAAACGGAGCATCATTTATTATCCTACCTAGGCATCTTATAATTTTTATTTTTGAAAGGTGCCTTATAATATAGGGACCGGAGAGAACATAAATATATGATATGATTTTATTTTTATTGTTTCAAAAATCTTCTAAAAAGTAAAGATAATTTTATATAATTTGTCATCTAATATTTTTAAATCATAAAATTAAAAGTTCAAATTAATAATCCATCCATTTAAAAATACAAAGTATTTTTTGAGGGCTTTGATATTTAAAAATGTAAGACATTTTTAATATTTTAATTTGTAATTAATGTACTTTTATCAAAAATGTTCCTAATAAACAAGTCACTTTTTGTTTACTTTCAATTGAAACATTCCATTAAAGAGGGGTAAAAATGAAACAATAGTATTAGTTGAAAAATAACTAGCTACTTTTTTAGGAGGTGTAATTTTATTAAAACTGCCTTATATTTTGAAATAGAGGGAGTGGCATTTTTTTTTGTTTTCCAAAAATTGTCCCCCCCCTAAGGTTATTTCTGCCTTTGCCACAATATTATGAAATCAAATTTTGTTATTAATGTAAGTACCTTATTGATGGGCAATATATTACCTTTGTAAATGCCCTTTTGAACTAGAAAGTATGCATTGACCTTATCTAGTGAGTTATCCCCTAAACTTTTAGAGAATCCTATCTGAATAAAAAAACAACAACAAATTGTAGGGAAAAAAAATAGAGAATTCTGTGATATATATTATTAGGATGTTATATGGCATGCCTCTCACAAAATTTTGTTTATATGATAATGTTATAATAATTCAGTAAAATAAATTCCTTATTGAACATAATATTATATTAATTCATATTTAAAGGATGTGATATTTCAAGTATCTAAAAATATTTAAAAAAAACTCCATAGTTGAGAAGGCAGGCTAGGTTTTAGAGAACCATTGAGATTCATGTGTAATTTTATTTGTTTTTGTTATAATTTTTTTTGAAGGAATTACAACATTCGTGAGCAAATATTTTTAAAATTTAATCAAACGATATAAAATTATAAAATTTTCATGCTTGTTAAATTTGTATACTTGTATTTTAATTAAAAAAGTCTTGTATAACAATAGATCAATTTTTCCAGGGACCAGATAGCATCATGCGCGTAGAGTTTACTCATGCCACGGGACCAGAAAGATCAATTTCTCAGACATTCACAGGCTGTTTATTATTTATTTGTCGGGTCAACAATTACATGGCATTACTTTCTAAAACACCTGGCTACATTTCAAAACTGGCAACAAAATGAACAATTGCTAGCTATAGATAAATGTACTAAATAAATAGATAAAATGGAGTGAGAGTAAATCTAAATAGGAACAGAGGCATAAGATAAATCCATGAGAAGCAGTGCCGCTTGAGCTACTTCGTCCGGCGGAAACACTTGCTCAACCACCGACACGTTGTTCCTGAAACTAAATGCAAAATCCTTAAAACCCATATTCTTCTTTTCTCTCTGCTGAGACGTCCCTGCGTTGCTTGCCGTCGCCTTGCACTTATTCTTTAATGCTATAAAGTGGTTTGTGCGAGCCTTCTTTTCCTTGCTATTTAATCTGCAAGTCGCTGCACCATTTCCAGCTTCCGCCATTAAAGCCCTTCTTGCCTTCCTCCGCCGAATCCCACATGCATTGCACAGTGACTGCATGCATATATATAAGTGTGTCACCATTAATGAAAATTGTAAGGTTCTGAGATAATAGAATAAATCCAAGGGGAAAATGTTATCAGAAGAATTATTTTACCTTAGGACCATTTGGGCCACCCCTCCAAAGTGGGGTGCTGGTTGTGTTACAGTCGGCACAAACCCTAATGGCTGTGCTATTTCTGTGGTTTGAAGGTCTTCTTTGGGTTTGGGTTTTCTGGTGCTCTTGAGTTCGGATATTTGTAGTAATATTCGATGCTTTGTGAGGGACAGGACTGGTAGTGCTGGGGATCATTTTTGGCATTAACCTCATCTTAGAAGACATCCATTGTGCAGACTCGAATCCGCTTTTTGTGCTTTCTTCTTCCTCTTCCTCTTTATAGCCACACGCGTTTCTTCGATCATCCTTAACTTGTTGAGTCTGGGGTGAATTGAAGGATGAATTACAAGCTTGGTGACTGCAGCTTGATCTACCGTGCACCACCAGTCCATTCTCCTACACATATATTTAATCACTTAATCAGGATATGATTAACATATACTGACTACATGGGTAGACATTATTTAGACCACAAGTAATTAATAAGATTGCACGATATATATATATATATATATATTTATAGGCATATGAATGATGATCGTTGTTTTTTCGAGCCAACTGACACAAAAAACATGTTTGCGCAAGAAATTAGACCTAGATATCTACATCCATCACAGAAACCAGTTCTGAATGCATCAAGAAAGCAGCATACTTTTTTTTTTTCCATAGCTGCTACAATTTCTTATTTATTCAAGCCATATATATGTGCAGGCGTGTACAGCAATTAATCGACTATGAAACTTCGTTCACGTTTCAAAAACTAAGAAAGCGAAGATCAGTCAAATAGCTACACTACTACTGATCATGGATATCTAGTTAACAAAATTAAGATCAATCATATATTTAAGCCTGGACCATGGAGATATATTAATTGCAAAGTGAAGTTGATGACGGGCTTGAAAAAAGAATATGAAAAAAATAAGATAGGATCTTGCCTCTTGATCACGTCTTAACTCTGGGGTTTCTCTAGTCTGTGTTGGATCAAGTATGTGGAAGAAACTGGGACACGACGAGAGAGAATCACTTGACGAATCCCGATTATGAGGAGAAACGAAGAATTGGTGCTGATCTTCTATTTGATCCTTGAGAAGGAAAGGGCTTGGTGGGTTCATAGCAACAGGAATCATCGAACGATCCAACAGAAGGAAAGAGAGAGGATGTTAACACCCGCAAAAATGGACAGAATAAGGGATGGAATATTAAGGTACAGGGCAAGAAGAAGATGCCTAAAGAGGGATGACTGCACAGTAATAGGGTTGTGAAAGAGGGGGATAAAGGGCAGAAAGAGAAGACGTCTGAGAGGCATTCACGTGACTTGATATATATAACAAAACAAAACATATCAATATATACATGCAAAGAGACAAGATATAAAAGCAAGTGTGGAATGCTACTACTCGACCTCCAGTACATGACAAAACCCTATCTGCAGTTTCGGTCCTCATATACATAATCAGTCTCATTTACTCGAACGGTCACTTTGCCTGATAAAAAGTTATTATATATATGTATGTATGTATGTATGTATGTATGTATGTATGTATGTATGTCTTTTTTTATTTTCATCAACTTGACCTAGATTCTACTCTTTTGGAAGTTAACCATCCTACGAGCACGGGTCAAAAAAACAAGAGTCATCATTAACAACACCATCATCTTTGATCTATGTCATAAAAATTCAACAAAATTCTACATTTGCGTTTGATATCTGACATAACCCTTGATCTCTTTTATCAGGATTTGATACCAGCTATGAGAAGAAACATGGGTAGAGTTCCTAAAAAAAATCCTGATCGTAAATTTTTTTTTAGGTACGTACAGTCACTATGAAGTGTTCTTAAAATTAAAGCGGGAGAACATTATTAACAATAGCGATGCTAAACAAATTCTTAAGTTTATTTAGTTTTAGTAATATCACTTTATAATTTAGTTGAGAGAGGCCTACCATTTGCTCTCAATGGGCAATATCTAGGAGAAGACAATCTTTATTGTCAACGAACTTGCTACTTGTGTTTTAAAAAAAATATCACTTTCATATCCCCATTAAACCGAGTTTTCAATGAGCTGCACTGCAGTATTTACGGGGAATAAATGTTTTAGGAATAATGAGGATGGTACTGCAGATCTGAATATAGGGGCAGACATGCATGATGTAGCGCCTTACTTCCTCAGTGTAGCCAAAGAAATCAACGTTGGCACTGCAGAGACAGTTTTTGTGAGAGAGACAGCGTCTCCCAGCAGTCCCCACATCCACCACGCCTCTTGCCATATCAATCATGTACGCCTTTTGAATATTTTATATATCTATATATATATATATATATATATCATTGTTTTATTTACCTGGCCTGTCAGAATTTGCTCAGATTTTCTACCTCCCTGGTAGATTTCTTTTTTTTAGTTCTGTGTGTACTAGCTTTCTTCTTGCACATGAAAACAATTACACTTTGCCCAATTCATATACAGCCATGACATTTAAAGGCTATTCACTTCGGATTTTGGGTAAAATAATACGTCTCAACTACGGGCAACCAGCTCACATGAGCTTCATGTGATTACATGCTCGCAGGCTTTGGATTGATGTACCTGAGAGCCATTGAATCAAAGTCATTCTCTCTTAAGGAAACAAAATACACACACACACACACACACAAAAGCGCTGCCAGAATCATATACTCACTCCAATCTTATTTATAAGTCATTTCTATTAACTTCATCAATATTAATACAATAAAAATATAAAAAATAAAATTGAAGTCATTCTCTCTTAAGGAAAAAAAAAAAACACACACACACACACATGAAGCCCGACCAAAATCATATACTCCTCCAATCTTATTTATAAGTCATTTCTATTAACATTATCAATATTAATACAATAAAAATATAAAAAAATAAAATTTAGTAAAATTATAAACATAACCCTCAAAAAGTGAATAAACTATATAATATTATTTATCTATTTCTCTCTCTCTCTCACTTTCAAGGGTAATTTAAATATTTTATTTAAAATAAAATATCACTATCAATCTAATAACTTATAAAGTGAACTATTTCATCATTCTAGAAGATGATTAATAAAGTGGATCGAAGGGAGTATTTTATATACACAATTAAATTCACACATATATTTGTTGCGGGGATGTCATAAACTTATCCTCATCATCATCATCATGTATTCATGTTGATATACATAATTGAGAAAGACAGATACGATCCACACAAAAATAAAATCTAAGCGAAATCAAAATTTGAAGGTAGTACGTGCTGTAGCTTCTGGCAGCCATGGGTGTGGTTTCAGAAGCTTGCTGATAATGTTGGTTGATTCATGTGAAGCTGGTATAATTAAACAATATATGTGCACGTAACTAGTCATAATTTGGGTCTTTTTTGTGATGAAGAAGGAAACTACGTATGAGACTCCTCTGGCCGCACAAGATCCCTTATCTCAGATCGACGTGGATCATAACATCACGATGGCGATGGAGGCTTTGTCTCAACATGTATAACACTAAATGCTAGTGCAAGTGGTTTTTCTTGTAAAAGGACAATATCGGGTGCCCCAAGACGAGTTAATTTTCTAAACCTGAGAGGCGAGAGACATCTTTATATATATACACACACACATATAATCGCACGTCCTTAATGTTAACAATATTTTGGACAACGTGATTTTCTCATAACCAAGAAGTATATGCTACCATTATTCTGATTGAAACGGCTAACGATCGATCTTGGCAAAAAGAAAAAACGGCTACTGGTCCAACGTGCATTTTATTACCCTAACAAATTTAATTGATACCGCTGAAAGGGAACCGAAAGGATAGGAAAGATGTAGGGAAGAGAGAAATATAGAGAGACAAGAGAATACAATTATGGATAGTACTATGAATTATTCATCATGCATGGTTTTCATATTACAATCTCCCTTACATATATATATATATATAGAGAGAGAGAGAGAGAGATGCTGACTTGCTGCAGACTTGATCCTTTTGTTCTTCTAATGTCTTGACTGACTGACTACCAACTAACCATTTTTAATATTTATTTTACGAGTTATACATCTACGCCCCATTTCAAAAACCCTTGACCTCAAAGGTCCATTACAACGAAGCCTGGATGCTACTGTTGCAGCTGAACAAGTAAAATCCATCTGGCTTCGTCACCCAGATGACTTTTCCAGTGCACCAAGACTTTGGTGATGATCATTATCCCTTCTCTTTGACCCGTTATTTTATTCAAAACCTTTTCTGGTGTGAAATTTGGAGGAGTAAGAATGTAATAAGATGAATGCACACCAATGACGCCTTTTCCATTGATGTGAGGATGACGATTCTTCCGGAGGACATGCTTAATCTTTCTTTTTTTCCAGATATATACCGTTTGCATTTAAAAATTACTATTTTTGTATTTATAATTTTTAATTAAAAGTGATAAAATTAAATATATTCAACTTGAGTCTCAGATAAGATGTTCATCGGATCCAATCAATTTAAAAAAGAGATTTTAAGCCACCTTAATTAGGTTAATTCAAGTGTTATATGTGTGGTGAGGGGCTCCGGGGAGACGGTGGGCTTGGGCTGATAGGAGGGTATGCAAGATTTTATCCAAAAAAAAAAATGAACATCTGTTTTAACGTATCATCCAAAAACTAACATTTTAATTACAGTTCACCCTGTACTACAATATAATATGGTGTTAAACACTTCTCTCAAGTGTAACGGGTTTGACCATTTACGAATGCAGTGTGCATGTGATTTTCCTCCCATTGGATGAAAAAGTACCTACAAGCTACTAATTGATTTAGTCTGAGTCAAAGACTTTGAAATATGGAAGTCCACACACCAAAAAGTTAGTAATAACTAATGAGTAATTAGTGTATGGGGCATGAGACATGAGCTTTCTCCCGTCCTGGCAAGAAGGGGGACCTCAGTAATTTGCATTTAAATCTCTACGGCCCAATGGGCTTTGAGCCCAGAATACCCTCTACTGTAATTTTTTTGGCCATGTCACGTGTGCCCTCTCCTCTATTCACTCCTTTCTTTTACTGTTACAAACAAAATGGTTTCCTGTCTTGTCAGCTGTTAATAATATAACAAAGAAGTTGGTTTAAAAAAAGATTGGGCAACCTTTTGATTTCAGTCAAAAGGGAGGGACATCACTTTTAATTTAACGTCTCGCATGCAGTTAACCTATTTAATTACGAAATGATGAATGGTGAAAGATAATATAATTATCATATTTTTATTAAAAAGTTGACAAAGATAACATACCAACTGGTTGGGGGAAAAAAGCATAATCACTAGTCACCTTGGTCTTAATTATAGGATAAAACTTTAAAACCATATTTAATCATTAATAAAGGATAAAGATATACTACTTTTATTCTATTTATAAAGTATAGAGAAGAATATTTATTGAGCTTATTTATAAGCATTTTGATAATTATTGTATCCATGATCCTTATAATTTCACCTATGTTAAATGTTAGAATATTTTCTTTTAAAAGTATATATGTATTTAATGGGGATAAAATTAAAAACTTATTAAATTTTAAAACAGAATTTATAAGATTTAAGATATTCTTCCTGATGAAAAACACTTTTAGTGACTTATAGAAAAGACCCTTTTTTAATTACAGTAAGATGCGCTAATTTCTATACACACTTATTGAGACTATTAATTTAATCAGCGAATGGAATAATTAAAAAGTCAAATTTTTTTTCACAAATTTAAGGATATCTAAGGGAGTAAAAAATTACACATTTTTCCAGCAAATGAGAGATTAAAGAAAAGAGAGCTCCTAACGTGTATATGTAGCACTATATAATCTAGTCATATCCATTAAATCAAGCTCTAAAATTGCAACAATTAATAAAAATATATAGTTTAAAAACGCTTAGGCAGAAGGTGCATGGATTAAAGGTGGTGTATAAAAATGGGCCTGGCCGTAATAAATTAAATAGTTGTTGTTTGGTTTTGGGGAAGGTGGACCTCATTAAATGAGACAATTGAATTGAAGCTGAATACCAATTCTCAGACCTAGGCAAGAAGCCAAGCCGGAGCTAGAGGATAAAGACCACATAGTAGTGTGGACCGAGTCTCTGATTCTCTTCCGCCTTCTTTCAAAACAGAAAATGGTGACCGCGACCATAGCTCAGCTGATCTATCTTCATTTAAAATTCTGTACTTAGCGTAACTAGTTAGTTGACATGTCGTCTTCTGGTTTTAAGTTCAATCGGCCAATCTGTCCGGCTTCATAGACTGTCAGAGAGTCTTTCAACAGGTGTCTTGAATA